CGGACATGACCAGCGACCAAAATTGTGCGGCGATTGCAACAACACGCGAGCAGAAAAGATGAGAATTATGGGATGAGCATAAGCATGAGAGGCGCCCACGGTCGCGCGTCCGGTCACAGCCGCATCACGCGCCTGCGTGACCACCGCGCTCAGCGTCGCTCACAGCCTTGGACTCCCTCCGTCGTCGTCCCCGCCATGTCTCGTCTCTCTCCTCGTGCACGTCCCGCCGCTGGCAGACCCCGCTATCCTCCCTCTTCAGACCAGCCCCGTCCTCCGTCTTCCCTTCATCCCACACAGCGACCTGTGCAAGCAGCATACTCTCGCCCCTACGATTCGCGTGCCTCGTATCCCGCCTTTCTATCTCTCTTCGACACCGTGCGCCTCCAGCTCTCCTGTGCCGTGCGCGGCTTTGCCGATGCCTTTCGCTGGGATGTCGTCGCTCGTCTCCTCGCAAACGATGCTGCCATCCGCGGCGCCCTCCTCAAGTCCCTCCTCCTGAACGTTCTCGCTCTCGCATCGGTCGCGTTCTTCGACATCCTCCTCGCCCCCCTCGGTGTAGACGTGCAGAATGAACGCAGCTGGATGCATCGCAACGTCGGCTGGGCCTATCAAGTTCTCTGGCTTCTGCCTGTCGTCGGCATCTCGCTATACCTAAATGTGCGTGTCCCCCATTCTATCTAACCGACAGAACGTGCCAGTGGAACAGTCCAGTGCGGAGTGTTTCCAACCCTTAACTTACGTACCGCGTCTGACTCCTCCTCCACGATGACGACCTCTCTTGTTCTCTTCTCAATATATCCCTTCTATCTCTCTCCAATGTATGCACGTTTCCGTATCCATCACATGGAAGCATGCGTGTCCATCTGCACACCAGCGAGCTTTTACAGCCGCGGTTGTACTCCCCGCTCCCGCCCTTTCACCCGGCCCCCTCGTCCTCGCGCCGCTCTCTGACCGCCTCCCACAGACTACATACTGCAGCTTCATTGCCAAGCGTACCTTCGCACTCTCGCACGGACCACGCGCCGGCGCCGCGCCACCTGCAACCTACTCCGGCCTTCTCAACGCACTCGCGACTTCCGCCTATGGCGGAATCATGGTTATCTCCTCCATCGCCGTCTCCTTCTCTCTGCGTTGCATTCCCCGCATCGGTGGCCCCGCCAGCTTCGTCTTTCTCTGCTGGGTCGACGCGTGAGTGCGTGCTCTGTTTTTAGATCGAGCACTATTCGACGGCTGAATGCACAGGTATTATTGTTTCGAGTGAGTCTTCTTTTCGGAAGATCGTTGTGACTCGTGATTGATTAGTTTTTCTGCGTAGACATGTGTGGATTGCCCGAGGGCTGTCACTCGCGCGGCGCGTTCGGCATCTAGAGGAGCGCTGGGCATACTATTTTGCCTTTGGTATGTCCTGTCTTCACCGAATAGCTATATGCTCATGTCTGCCATTAGGTCTTCCAACTGCTGCCCTCTGCACATGGGGAAGCAGCCTTGCTAATGCCGCGCTCTTTGCGCTCGTCTTTCCCGCCGTACGCTTCTTTTCGTACGACAATGTTCCCCACACTGAACTCGTATGGCTTGCCTGTGTAGTACATTATCATGGCGATGCACGCACGGCCTGTACCCCTTGATCCGTATAATCCGCTGCCCGCACCTGCACAAACTCGATTCACCGCCGCTGGCGTGGAGGCGGAGACGGATATCCGCCATCCGCATCCCCTTGTCCCGATCCGCCTGCCCATCTATGCCCCCGTGCTGTGGCTCAACGATGGTGTCGTGCGCGTGCTCAGTATGTTTGGAGGTAAAGACATGGGGCGCTCGGCCAACGTGGGTGGAAGCAGTTTGGGATCCGCGAATGCTGGGTCGCGAAGAAGAGCATTGAGCGACACGGCTGAGAGTATCGAGCAAGGAGAAGCCGGGCAGTGGGGCTCCATGACTGGCGTGGGGATCGAGTTGACGACGAATGTGGGGCCCGGAATTCCTGGGAGGACGAGGGTACGCTTGGGCGGCACTGCTGAGAACGATGTTGGCGGTTACGGCAGGCGGAAGGTCGACTGAGAGTCGGCGCTATGGTGCTCACATCACGATCATTCTCATCGCTCTCATGTCGCTCTCACATGCATTCATGTACGACATTTTACACTCACGATACCACACAGCTTGGCAATATATACCTATCGTTACGAACTATAGCATATCAGCCTGACAGATCGGACCACTCCAACTACGCACGAGTACCGCTAGCCAAAACCGGCCCATTCAATGGAGAAATACGACACCTCCTGCCGCTCGTCGTCCCATCCGCACAATAGGTGGGCCTTTTTCGTAGCCGTACCCAGCCGCCCATGTGCAACAATCTCCATCGGCTTGATCGTGGAGACGGGCGCGTCGATGACCGTCGCGACAAAGTGCGAGTGGTAGCGCAACGGGTCGCCTGTGCAGTGTCGCAAATTGAATCAACACCTCGCGTAAACGCCGATCCAGAGCTCAGCTGCACTCACCGGGGTAAACCAAGAAGTCCCCGCCGAACCTGATCCCCCCACCCATAAAGTACCCCTTCTCCCAGAGGTCCCGAAACACGCCGCACTTGGCACGCTCGTGCGGGTCTGCGGGGTATGTCCATATTTCTGCTGCGCGCGCCTCCGCGAGCGTCGAGTATGTACAGTCGTGAGGCGCGTACCACGGGGTGAGCGACGAGCTTGCCGGGAGAGTGATTGTGTATGCCGGTGTGGACGTTGAGGCTGTTGTCGCCGTTGTTCCACTAGCGTACGTGTGTGGGGCAGAATGTCGTCCCTGCTCTCTTGTCTGTGGCGGCTGGGAAGGCCCAGCATCGGGAGTCGAAATATCGTCGATGAGGTCGATGTCAGCGCCCTCCGCGAGAGCCTTTGCGCGCGCAGCGGCAGCGCGGCGCTCTTCACGCTCCTTGCGTTTGCGAAGAGCATCTTCTGAAAGGGTGTGTGCTTTGGATTTCTCCGCGGCCTCCTTCGCTTCTGCTGCGGCAATCTGAAGCTTGTGTGACGCATTTCGATGTGCGTTCCACTGCGCCAGGTCATCGAGGGACGGGTTCGAGTGTGCACGAGCATCGTCGATGAGAACCGCTCGTCCTATGGGTGAAATGTAAGAATCGGAGCAGGAGTTGGGTCGAAGCTTACCGACCTGTTTCAACCAGAAAGACAACCTCCTCCGGCATCAACACAAGAGGGATCCCTAAAAAGACGTTTTGCTGCGACAAGTGTGGCAGGGTGCCTGCCAGGACGCCGCATATATGGTGCTGGGCGCGGAGCGTTGCGATGTCTATCCTTCACCATCCTGGCGGGTCGGTCAAAAGCCGAGAAAAAGAACTGTGGTTGCGGACCTTCAGTGTCCCATACATAAGCTCTGTGATTAGAAATCCGCAAGGGGATTTTACGAATGGCGTCAGGCATGGTGTCAGTGCTCATCTCAAGCACAATGTCGGCATCGACAGCCAGGGCTAAGCTTGTTTTTTGCAGCCCAATAAAATAAAATCACATGTGGCCGCAGGCGCGTCTCTGACTAAGCAACTGTACTTTCGGGATCTCGGCGTGTTCTAACCACCGCCGGATTTTGAGTGTACACATCTCTCTGGTATATGTAAGAGTTGGATTCTGCGCCGCCTGACATCTCTCGACCACAAGATGGCAGCTGGTGCTTCTCGTTTCGGGGGCTATTCGTATGTCTGTGCAATCAATCAACTTGCGCTCCCCGATGTGGGCGGTATACAGTGTCTTGCTCAGAATATTAGAGGTCTCACAATTTGCGGTAAGCCGTTGATTTTTGCAGCATCACGACCCATCTATAACCCAATATCAATCAGGGATGTAGATGAGGTAGCCGCACACCTGCTCGAGCCCTCGCGGACAGTAAAAAGGGAACCAGAAAAAACCCAGTTGAAGTGTCTGCTCACAATAAGTACCTCGCGGTGGAAGAGCTGCGGCTTCATCGAAATAGATGACTCACTGCTCAACACCTGAAGTCAGTCGATGATACTGTTTCAGAGGATATACGGAACCATCTCGGCAATGTATGGTTGGAAGTGGCGATAGCTACGCATCCAAATGTACAGCCAGCATGCAGCGCTGGTTCGTATGGGAGTGGCCCAGTGCTGAATTTGACTTTGATACAAGAGAGAGGTGGCCGTCACGCAGTTCTTCGCGCTTCTCAAGACAAATGACATTGGCCTATTCAATCCCAACAGCCGCGATTACTCAGATATCTCCACATTCAGAGTGAACTTCCTGATAGTTCTCTGGCAAGATCTAAAATGGGCGAACGGGACAAGTTGTTCCGTTCCGACATTCGTGAGCATTGTCGCGTTGCTGAACAACCCTAGGTTTTTCAACCTATTCTTGTACGCGGCGGGTGTGTCTGGCTTTACGGACGTGGTGGCTGGAAACAACTATACGAAGGGGCTCTTCGTTATGCTTGACCGAGATCCCGTGCGGTGTCTGTGTAGTGTGTGTATGTTGCTGATGAGCGGGACTGTGCAGATTACTGGGCTAGGTATGCTCGTGTTCTTGACTGCAGCTTCGGCCCTAGACCTGTGAGCTTCCTGGTAGCGAGAGGGGCGAGTGATTTATTAAAGGTAGTGCTGTCGGCGATTATCCGTAAAGCCTTGATATTGTAATGATACGGACCTTCTATTCGTGTCGGGTCAATGCTTTCCTCCGATACTCGCGAAACTCTAGCGCCTCTTGAACCGTCTTGTAGTTGCTCATTGGGATCAGCACGTCGGGGCACGTTCGGACCGCCACGATGCTGTCGCGTTGATTCGGATAAGGAATACAAGACATTCCCGCTAAACCCGCGATCAAACACGTTGTCGGCTGCCAAGCGCGAGCCTGAGCTGCACTCAGTTGGATCGCCGCGCTGTAGAGACTGCAAACCGCAACTGTACGAAAGCATAGCGTATTTCAGAGGAGGTGCATGGATTTCAACGCAAAGACGAACGCGACGCGGAGTCGGGGCCGGATGCCGGAACACGGTCACGTGTGTGTAAGCGACGCGTAGATGCGCGCGCGCGGGGGGGGGGCGCCAGCGCAAAATGAACATGAGCCAAATAACACGTAAATAGAGCGGGTGGGGATAGACGAGGAGCGACGGCTTTGTGCTCTCCCAGCGCGACACCCGCGACGCACAGCAACGACAGACCCGGCGACGCCCCCTCTGGATTGTTGTATGTACAGTATTGCTGCTGGCTGTGGCCATGGGCTCGCGGCGGGCGCTGACGAGGTGGACCCACAGACCTCCACACACGAGTTTGCCTTGCCTGCCTATTTCATCTGTTCACTTTCCCGTGAGAACCCCTGCGCCTCCCCCGACGGCGCCCTCTCTCTCTCTGTCGGTAAGTAGGTCGCTCATTCTCTCCCCAACAGGCGCGGCCTCCTCCGTCAACACGTTCGTTCACCACAAGGCAAGTCTGCGCTCTCCCCGCCGCCCCAGCGCCAGTCTGCCGCCAGAGCCGCGAACGAGCCACGCCAGCCCGGCGGGTGGTCGCTGGCTTTGCTGGGTCCAAGCCCCGTCGGCCACAGCCAGCGTGCCGTACGCGCGCATGACAATGGCCGGCCTTATTTTCCTCTTTCCGTCTCTCTGGTTCGTTCCGCCACAGTGCACGTTACTCACCTCCGCCCTCCACAGCCGGCTATTTGATCAACACCTCCGGCCACGATCTCTGTTTGGGGCCACCGTCTGGTTCGTATTTCTATTTCTTCCCGCGCCTTCCTCCTCTTCCTTCACCGTCGCTCTCCTGCGACTCCCGCCTCCCTCTCTGTACTCGTCCACTTGTATTACACCCTGTCCATCATCACACTGTATCCCCTACTCCTCGTTGTATCATCTCTCTTCCTTCTCATCATGCGTACCCAAACTACTATACTAAAAAAAGCTCGCCGTGCAGAGCAACCTCGACCATACCCACAAGAAAAGAAACGCATTGGATCAAAACACAACGTCGAAAATATGTCTTACTTCCCCACCGTTTTTGGCCTTGCCACCAACAAACCAACCCTCGCCGTTCCCCCGGCCCCGTCCCGCAAGCTGAGCCAACGCATGGCAACTGTCCGCAACGAGCTCGATGACTTTCTTTCTTCCGACCTGGACGCTGATCTCGAGCTGTCCTTCGCTTCCACCATGTCGTTGAACTCGCCCCCTCGCAACCCGGCTGACCTCACTCCGGAGAATGAGAATCCAAACCATGTTCCTATGGATATCTCTCCAGCCCCTCCACGCATCGTGGTCTCCACCTCCCAGGTCAGCGCTTTTGCGAAGCCGCTCACCGGTCGTCCGAGAGCATTCACCAGTGGTGCTCGCCTGTTTGGCCGGGACGTGAGCAACGACACCAGTTCCGTCGCCAGTTTTCAGTCTAGCGCAAAGTCAACTGGTACCGGCGGTGCGGCCAAGCGTCTCCAGCGTTCGGCCCTGCCCCTTGAGTGGATGGGCCATGGGCAGCAGGATACCGGGTTCAGTCAGGTTCGTAATATCCTGATTCGACCGCTAGTTCCACTCCTAGCACATCTTATAAATGGTGGAGCACATTTGGCTGACATTCTTCTTGTCAGCCACGGAACGTTCCACCGTCCCCCGCAACGTCCGACGCGATGGACATTGATTCGTCCTTCGTACACGTTCCATCAACGTCGGCGCCTGATTCGGACGGTCCCCTTTCCGCGGCCCCCACTATAACCGCCTTCAACATTGGCAACGATGCCCTACTGTCTTCGCCCGTCCCGGCTTCTGCGGCGCCGACCGTGACGCAGTTCACCAATTTATTCTATGATGTTCCTGCACACGACATCTCTAGCGATATGCCGGAAGGCTTCGAACACATGCCGCACGAGAGCGAGATCTCGCAGTCCATTGACAGCCCCTACCAGCCCTTCCCAAAGAAACGGCGTTCTTCCCCTGCCCCGCACCCGGTCCGTCGTGCGGTATTGGAGCAGGAGGCGTCGCTGGACTCTTCACCTGCTCCCTTGTCGCCTGTTGTGCTCAAAATGGAGCGCATCGCGAACAGCCAGATGCTCAAGAAGCCCATGCTGAGTGGCCTCGGAGCACCGCTCGAGCTCAATGCTAACAAGAAGCGGCCTAGGCGTCCCGCCTTGAGCGCAATGGTTGCACCTGGGGAGGGTCCCATCTCACAGCCTCGCTCGGCATACCCGTCGACGAGTGCCGCGGCTCAAGGCGACAAGGAAAACCGTGGACTGCAGGTGCCCGTCAATGTGCAGCACGTCATGCCGCCTGTGCGGCGCGCGTTCTCGGCGATGCTCCCGCCGTCCTTGATGGAGCAGTCAATGTCCTCCGAGGAGGGCGCGTCATTCGGCAACGAGAGTGCGGAGATGAGCTCACCTGCGCAGGCGTATGCGAGGCGCCAGCAGGTGAAGACCATCCGGCGCTGCGATGGGACGGATGACTTCCGTCCTATTACGGGTGCGACCGCGCTCGTGCGCCGCGATACAGAGGTGATGATGAGGTCTCTGAGACGTAGCGAATCTAGAGAGGACAGAGTGAGCGAAAACATCGAGAGGGACACCCCTCGTAGCAAGTATTTGAGTGCCTCTTCCGGTCTTAAAGGGTTCGGCGACAATGAAGCCCATGGCAAGATATTGCCCTGCCACCGCGTGAGGGAGGATGGGTTGATGCGTATCACGACTAATACGGTGAGTCGATTCCCATTGGTCTGTTGTAGTTATCGAACGTCGTACTGAGCGGTTTACGCATAGCTTGATGATCTGCTTGATGGGAGATATAATTCGCACATTGAATCTTTCCATGTTATCGACTGCCGATTTGACTACGAGTATTACGGTGGGCACGTTCCCGGTGCCATCAATATCAACACTACGACGGGCGTCGAAGACTTCTTGCTTGGAAGCGACGTCTACAAGCCTACGCCTTCTATCAGCGGCGACTCGAGCCGCAAGACCATCTTGGTATTCCACTGTGAGTTCAGTGCTAAGAGAGCCCCTACTTTGTAAGTATTCCGAACATTTCGCCGACATGCCTGAACTAATCAATGATCCGCTAGTGCTAAGCATCTTCGTTCAAAGGACCGCTCTGTGAACAACCACGTCTATCCCAGAATCCATTACCCAGAGGTGTACATTCTGGAGGGTGGGTACAACCAGTACTATCAAGACTCTGCTGACCGCTGCGAGCCGCGAGGATATGTGCAGATGGATGATCCTCATTATGCTGCCTCACGCAAGGAAGACCTGGACCAGTTCCGGAAGGGCAAGTTTGGTAGGACCAAGTCGTATGCTTATGGCGATGGCAAGCTGGTATCCGCGCTGTCGCAGCAGTCGAAGAGGAACACGGCGCCCAGTAGCGGCGGTACGAGTGCCCTGTTTGCTGCTGCAAACGCGGCGCGTACTCGTCGCGGAGGCTTGGGGAATACCGGCCTGCAAGCGCTGGCCGAAGACGGGAGCGCTAGTCACCACAGTGAGGACGAGGACACCGATATTGGCGACAGTCCTTGCCCGCCGCCTTCTAAGACGACGACCTACCGCGGCATGAAGATTGGCCGTCTGTCGAGGGCCGAAACTTACGACGCCACTCGTCTTGCTACTGGCTATTGAGATCACATAAAACTCTATCGGACAATTGATGCTCCCTAAGCAAACCTCTTATCGCCCATGTATCATCGTCCTGTGACCGTCTCCCAATCTCATCCCCAATGTTGTATTCATGTCGCCGCTCTATGAACTGAAGACCCACGTAACCCACGGTTTTACGACTAATCTCGTCTCGCAAACGATTTTACTGTTGCTATGTGTTACGACCTAACCCAAGACCCGAACCTATGGCATGCATGTCGCTGCTCACGCTCGTTATGCCCGTCTCTCCTGAACTCCCTCTGTCCTCCTGGCGCTCCTTTCTGTCGGACGCTTGTCGCGCACTCCTTGAAGTATCAATTTTCGACGTCTCCTGATCCAATCGAGAAAATCAAAAAAACAAAAAAAAAGACTCGTATCTCATTCCACATCATTTCAGCATATCACAGACATCATCTCATTCCACATTGTGAACCGCCACTACGCGTTGACGTCTTCATCCGCGCCCTCTGTTTGTTTCTGGTTTCCGCGCGGAGCATGCTCATTCGCTGGCTTTGTAGCAGTCACCATCGCCCATATCCATCTCAAACATCTCATCATGTACGATACGCACGGACGATCCCGCGTCGTTTCCACATTCTGCGTTCTGCCCTTCTGCCCCATATTCTTCTCTTGCCTCGTTGATCTCCCATATCTATTGCTGCGCACTTGGTCTTGTCTTGTGCCGCGGCTGGTTTCTCGAGCGACTAGTTTTAAACGTTTCTTGGACCTTCTCTATGCTTTTTGTTTGGCATATGGACAGCCTATCCCCACCCATCCCAAAGCCGTCTGCGTGTATTGTCGTTCGGTCCCCCCTTGCGGGACTCATTTCACCGCGGCTTTGGTTGATTTTGCATTTGTCGTACGGTCCCGTTTGTCCGCTATGCGCCCTGTGTTGTCATTGGATTTGGTTTTACAGTTTTCAATACAGCTGCGCAGGGCCGGCGCGTTACACTCTTGGAGATGTTGTGGAGTGCTTTGTGTGGACACGATGAGGTAGGGTGCGAGTTGGAGCCTGCGAGACTACAGCTGGATTCTGTATAGCGCAGTGCGAGTGAAAGAGCACAGGATGGGCGCCGTCGCCATCAGCATCAAGAGTAATCGGAATGTGCTCTCGATCGAGAAATGGCCGAGAAAGGCAGCTCCTGTAGTTCGCTCGCCCTGCCCCGCAGCAATGTGCCATCTCATGCTACGAGATCCATGCCAGTGCCAGCATTGGGAGTGGGGAGAGATTGTCCGCCCATTCCTGTTATTTGGAACGTGAGTGACTACGCAGATACCGCCTCATTAAGCGCAAAACATTTGCGCCACCTCCGCAGCGATAACTGGACATTACAGCTATACGGACAACTTCGTGAGCTTGATTACAACAGATGCATCCTTCACCCGTGTTATCGCTGCGATTGGAACGGAAACATGATGGAAAGCATGAGTCGATGCCGCTTCATTCGCGATTTCAAAAAAAATTGAGGGTCACAAGCGAAAGTCAATGCATTGGGATGCAATGAAAATGAAAAAGTCGATATCGTGTTGCCGTCCGAGACGCGAGTGAAGTGCGAGCGTCGCAGACTCACGAAGCTAGCGAGCGCTGGGCGGTCGGGCGCCTGTCTGTGCGCATGCGCTCGCCGGGTTTTTGGCTGCGAGCGCCGTCGCGCACTGCGCCTTGCCTTTCTCCTCTCTCCCCCATCCCGCTTTCCCGCCGCGGTCGCTCTTCGCCTCAGCGCTCAGAGGCTGCATCGGGTTCTCAGTCGGTTGCTTGCGCTGCGCCAGGCACAGGATATCAAAACTCCCATCATGCCGGCCTTCGATCCTGTACGCGATGCCGTCCTCAACTCCCCTCTCATCCCCTCCGAGCCCTCCCTGCCTCCCCGCATGCACCTCGAACTTCCAAGGAGCACCTTTGGTTCGTCCTCGTCCGCCGATGCCAGTGCCACACCCAGCTCAGCCCACTCGTTTGCCCGCCCAGACTCCAGTCCAGCCAGCGGCACCATTGCGACACCCGGCATCACTCGTCGGGCAACAGACCTCTCGGTCCTGCTCAATTCTGATCCCCAAGACACGCCCCTGTTCACCCCCACTACGCCTCGTGCACCCGCGACGCTCTCACACCTACTCCTTCCCACCGAGGCAAGCGAGGACCAGCTCTCGAATATCTCTCCCCTCCGCCGACGTTCGTCCGACCTCTCCGCTACTGGCTCTACCACGAGCAACCGCGAGAGCTCATACTTCTCCTGGCCTGGCAGGTCGTCGTCTGCGACCCTGTCCGATTCCCCCCAGGCTCAGACCTCGCTCGCACTCCCTACCTCCCAGTCAGCTCCCCATGCGCAGAGCGAAAGTCAGACTCTGATGCAGACCGCCGATTCTCCTGCATCCGTGACCCGTTCACCTGTGGCACCGATGCTCTCTAACATCATCACGCCCAATGTTCTGGGCATACAGCCGCCTGCCTCGAGGCCGTCATCCTCGCACTCGCATTCGTCTCGCCCTTCCACAGCTGTCTCGAGCTCTGCGGCATCTCGTAGCGGAGGCATGGGTAGCAGGGCCCAGGACATGCCCCCGCCCGCGGCGATACCCGCTCCTGCGCCCGCGTCCACACCGTCTGCAGCCACGCCGTCGCCCGGCTCCGCACCTAGGCCTGCGCCTGCCGGAGTAACTTCACGGCAGACAGCCACTCCCCCGGCCACATCAGCCCTCCAGCCACATCCGAGCCTCACTCCCAAACACCCACCATCCACATCTCCACAGATGGCATCTACGTCGTCCAACGCGGACGTTCCCAAGAGGAGCTCAATCCCGTATGCACCAGTGCGAAGGCGCACCCCTGCGGGCTCGGTGCTCGTCCCACTCTCGCCGGCGGAAATGGAGCGCTACCGCAACTTCCCTGGTGGTGTCGGTACGATGTTGCTGAGGAAGCGTAAACGTGAAGCCGAATCGGAGAACAACAAGAAGAGGGAACGATCGGAGGAGAGCGAGAATAGCGGAGAGCCGGAGGACGCGCCGGACGAGAGGGACGCTAAGAAAAGGAGAGTAGGCGACGTTGGGCTTATAGTCGAGCATTGTGAGTTCCTCTCCATCTTGGTTCCGTGGGCTTTGCGCGGACGTGGACATTTGCTGTCTGCCTCTGGCGATGTTTTTCGTGACATCATTGTACTTGTGCTTTACTCGTCTCCCTGACCTGCGTGTGATGGCTAGATAATGCGCGTCCCGATGTCGGCGTTACTCAGCGACAAGAGTCATCCATTATCGGGCTCAAGAGCTTCAACAACTGGGTCAAGAGCGTGCTCATCACGCGCTTCGCACATCCGGTGCTTGCGCAGAGCCCGATCTCCTCGGGCGAGTCCGACTCGGGCTCGAGCCGAGGGCGTGGAGGGGGTTCGCGAGGGAGAGTGCTGGATATGGGCTGTGGAAAAGGCGGAGACCTCACAAAATGGTCGAAGGCGCATGTCAGGGAGTATGTCGGCGTTGGTATGTTTTTTCCTGTCCTTGACGCTGAGCGTGCTACATGAAATGTCGGTATAGATATTGCCGCCATCTCGGTCGACCAAGCACGTCTGCGACATGCCTCCATGCGATCCGGCCCGCGCTTCGCTGCGTCATTTTACGCATTGGACTGTTACTCTCACAAACTTCGTGATGCACTCCCGTCAGCACTACTTGAGCGCCCTTTCGATGTTGTCTCGATGCAGTTCTGTATGCATTATGCTTTCGAAAGTGAGACCAAAACACGCTGCATGCTCGACAACGTCGCAAGGAGCCTGAGACCGGGAGGCATCTTCATTGGGACAGTACCTAATGCGGGACAACTACTGTACGGAAACATGTTCTTTGCTGTTGAGATCAACAGTGCTCATTATGCATTTTATGTACAGCGATCGACTTGATGGACTCCCTCGAAACGCAGAGACACTGTCTTTTGGCAACAGCGTGTATAAAATCCGATTCGAGGAACGTACTCATCGGGCGCCATTCGGTCACCGATATTGGTTCTTCCTGCAGGACGCGGTGGACGACGTGCCAGAGTACGTCGTACAATGGGACAATTTTGTCGAGTATGTGTCGCCCTATAATTGTGTCTGTATGCACCGTAATCTGATGCTTGTTATCGCAGAATGGCGGAGGAGTACGGTCTGCACCCGGTGTACAAAAATGAGTTCCATCAGATCTTCGAAGAACATCATACGCATCACGAATTTGGACAACTACTTGAGCGCATGCGTGTCGTCGACGCTAATGGTGAGAGCCAAATGGACGAGGATCAATGGGAAGCAGCGAGTAAGTTTTGTCGTCGAATTTTTCGCCAATATGAATGCTCACGTTCATTATGTAGATATATATGTTGGGTTCGCATTCGAGAAACGGTGAAGTGGAGGTCTCACCACCCACATGTCGATCATGTATTTGTACAAGCTCATAGATTATCGTTTAATGCTCTGATACCTCGGATACTATTAATGCACTGATTGTTGTTAATTCGCTAGTTGCATATAATGACATCTATAAACTTTGTACGCTAGTTCAACTTCTCATCACTACAACATAGGTGCAGTGACCAGCTTACAGGTTACAGGTTTTGGCATAGCTGGGCACAAAACTACACTTAGCTAACTGTTAGGGATGTTTGCCTCAGCGGTAAGATGCAAACGTTCCCATCCAATTGCGATCATAGGATTTTGTCGAGCGCGAAATCCTGTTGTGGAGGAGTCCAGTTGAAGTAGTAGCGAAGCGGTTCAGACAAGGCCTCGGGCGACAAATCTACACATTGATGTTTCCAGATGAGCGGGGTCATGTCGTCGTCATCCCACCCGTCGAACCCGTTGACAGGCCACATTGGCATCGTGCATATACTCTGAACGAGACAGACATGTGCATGTAAGCAGCTAAAGGATACAGCAGAACAAATACAACAGAGCGCACGTTTGAAGAGCAGGCTTCGTTGCATCGCAGCCATACAGTCCAGTCCAGCCAGTGCATCAGGGCATCAATGCGAGTTGCCCATCGGTCTATCATTTTCATCAGATCCGGCTCAGAAATCTCCTCGTTGGCTTCCATGCTATCGACAAAGAGGACGCCATAATCCGTGCATAACCGTTCCAAGACGGTTTCTACGCTCATCCGCAACAGAGCTTCTTGAGGCGTCTTGTCGATGCGCGGGTCGTGCAGCAAACCAGTGGCAGAGTACATACAGCGTCGGAGCATGGATGAATTTGTCGGAGTGGTAGGGAAAAGAGGGAAAAGGTGATTTTCCGAAAAGATTTCGCTTGCGCCAAAAATCCAATCGCGCACAGATGCATTCGACACACTGGTATCAATGAACGGACTAAGCGGAGAATAAGTCAGACGGCGCAACGTAAGGAGTGTGTATGTCGTGTTTACAGGTATGGTGTCATCCTGTGGTGTGGAGGTATTCCCAAGGAATTCATGCAGTTGCATAATCCGGTTAGCCCACTCCTCTACGATGTTCTGTGCGAGAGCCGCCCAGTTCATGCCGCTGCCATTTGCAGGCCAACCGGGACGCTGGACGACCTCCTCCACCTCCGACCTAACAGATTGGGCATCCACGACAGAGATGTCGTTCCAAATACGATGCTGTCTCATGGTCCGCTCCCCGCGCGCTCCAGCTAGACTGCGTAAGCGCGGATGATAAAATGTCACGAAGGAGGAATAATCGAGGTGGACATGGGGCTGCGGGCTCATACCTCGTTGTGCTGAGGCACGGAACCACTCGGAAAATGCTGCAATCCCAATCGGGGACCAAGGGAACTCGTCCTCGTCTGGCTGCTCAATGGGAGGAGGATGACCAGGCGGGGTGATGTTCAGATAGCTAACAAGCTGGAGCGTGGGGGAATCGAAGTCGCACCACATTACCTCGCTGTATGGATAATGTCAGTTTCCATTCAGTCAGATGTACTGGGAACGCTCACAAGCCAGAATTCATGCGGACAATCCCGTCTAGATTCACCTGTTTAGCCCATTTGCACAGCTTAGTTAAACGACCTGGTTCATCAAAGATATCATATTTGTCTGACTCGTTAAGCCTGCCTCGTCCCGCCATGAAAACCTCCTGGCTATCCAGCCATCCCGCTTCCTTGAAATTCAGAGCCGCGCTCATCCCATCAAAATAAATGATTCGGGCGGGCCGAAGAGTTCTGTAGGTGGCCAAGAACGTGGCGGGACGATCCCAGGAAAAGATGCCGAAACTCATTTCTGGGTCGAAAGCTAGCCATTCGGAAGATGGGGGTAGGTCGGCGCTGTTGCGTGCGTGGTAGAGTAGCGTGTAAGGGTCGATAACACCTGGAATGATTGTATGTCCATTGCCATGGTATGTATTCGGCCACTGTGAAAGAAGAGACGACAGAGAGTTAAATATGAATGGGGCAGTGGAGTTGTCAAGCAGATCCTCATAGTATGAGAAGGTTTGCTGTGAGAGTGCCTGGACGAGAGTCAATGGCCATATCGTGAGACCGAGGAGAGAAAACATGGAAGAGGTGTACCCAGTCCCCAGTCCCGTATACCGGAAATTGCGATTATAAGGGCGCACCAGCGAGATGCAAAGCATCAGAAGGTGTGATAATTGTACATATGTTCCTTGACCTGCCCGTATCAGCGCTCGTTTTAGGTCGCGTGTCCAAAATTAGGACCATTCAGGTTCAGACACATATAGCCAAGTGAATACAATCATCCTCTTTGCCATGTTTGCGAACATGAGCGAACCCCTTAACGGCTTTCGAAGCAATATGAGATGCTTCACAAATATTCAGAGAGTAACGGGCAAGTTTTATGAAGCATTAGCGCAGTAACGTTACAACACTCTCTGGGCGTAGAACGCTCGATGGCCAGCCAGGGAATCAATAATTTGTCTCACAAAGAATGCAGAGTGTGCAGAAAGAGAAAGAGAGGTAACGAATGAGAAACAAAGAGATTGCGAGGCGCTCTTGCTCGATTGTTTAGGCCTGCGGCGGTGGCAGCCACAGCTTGACCTCGTACGGCGACGGCAGACGTTGTCTTATATACCCTGCTCGTCCAATGTCGGTCCATGCGCCATCAAGGCCAAGCAAGAGAGCCCGCTCACCTCCATCACCGAGTATGTTTGACCGTCCATCAGTGCGTATCTCATCACTCTGCATTTGTACCACTTGCCCGCCTTCTTCTGAATAATTATGTCTATTAGAAAAGACCCTCGCTTGGGGGAGTGCTCGGAATTGATACAGCTATCTATGTCCCTATACCTCGAAATCCCAGTGTTCCGGAGGACTGGGTAGCACGGACGCATGGCTTGAGAATCGCAAGTCCTCTCTTTAAACAGGAGCCGCAAGCGCCTGTGCTTGAAACGATGGAAGAAGAAACCCAGCGCGCTTTAGTTCGTTTAAAGCCTATGGACCAACCTGTTAGCGATGTGGCTATGGTATGTCTTATTTTGTCAAGGCAGATCTGTGCTCAGCTCGGTATTCTAGGCGGATGTAGATGTCCCTATGGCTTCCTGCTCCCCACCTCGTCCCCGACACGGCATAGATGTCCTCTCGGAAGCGTGCAATTCTGGCGACCCTACTTCGCACACTCCTTCCTCTCAACATTTAAACTTAATACGACCCCCAGAAGTGTCCATGTTAGACTCAAGCCGGCAGTTGCGCCGGAATCTGCAAATTCCTGTGATACAGGTGCAGGGTGCCACTCCGTCACCAGTATCTGAACTAGCCTCATTGCGGAGCCATGAGAATGAAGTGCCTGTGTCAGGCTCCAGGAGGCAAAAATTCACCATGGGACCAAGGGCAGACTGTGAGAAGTGTCAGATGGGTGTGAAAGGCCATTGGATGCATTTTGATTGAATTTTTTATGTGATTATAAGTAAGCTTTTGGGGGACAATCATACTGGCATCATTTGTATTCTTCCTGTAATTTCTCTGGCATCTAATATACTGATTTACATTATTGTGTTACATGAGGGTTATTTTGTGACTGTAGGTGGCTGTAACCTTTGTGAAAGCCCAGATGTAAGAGGCCTATGATATATCTTACATTATTTCAAGAAGAGTATTGTCTTGACAATTCAGCTTTCTGACACCCTCATCTGGTTCTACTTTTCTGAGAAGTCATAATGAAGATGTTACAGCATAAGGGGGGGGGTTCTTTTTCTTTTTCCTAACTATTTGTCGTTGACCCTGTACTATACAACTGATCCCATCACTTGATGTGTTTCATCAACATCAAGCATTTCATATCTATCACTTGTCACCTGTCCCCTGTCTTACCTACATCATGTTTCATATCTATCATGTCTCATCTCCATCACTGATGCAACCCAGTGAAACCTGTTTCATGTATATCACTGATCCAACTCAGTGTTT